TTTTTCTCGCGACCACTCGACATGATGTTCCTCGTCACCCTCTCAAGCCATGACCATACCAACAGTCAACAACGCCCAAACTCCCACCCCGAGCAACGTCGTCCTACCCATTTTTAAACCCATTGCCGCGTTATCCCTCACCTTCCCCCCACTGATGTAGCCCGTCGACAAGTTACCCTTAAGATCAACGCAGTGTCTCATATCGGCAATAACCGCTTCCTTGTTGTCGTGCACTTTTCCATCTTTGTCTTTGAGGATAGAATCCGGAATCAAGCACCAGAGGACGCACCCCTCAAAGTCCCCTTCGCCGCTAACGTGGACCTCGTTCGGGCTGCAGCATTCCGTCATCCCCACCAGAGATTCGTTCCAGTTGGGGATGGCCCAGTAGCTAAGGTCTTTGGGCTGACCCTCCCAGAATTGAGGGAGGGCGTCGCGGGAACAGTTGGTGCGGGGGGTGATGGACATTTTGACTTTGACTGCCGATGGTTACGATGGTTACGATGGTCGCAGAATCTTATTGTTTTCGTTCTGTTAGTTATTGAATTGGCTAAAATGACTTGGCAGCATGACTTAGATTCAACATACCGAAGATAGATGTCTGTCACTGCGGATTGGATTAATCAACAATGCAGGGCAGTCTTTTTATTGAAGTGGAGGAATCCCGTTGATTGCAGAGGTTTGATGAAGGAATAGGCGTTGTGGAAAAAGATGGGGTGAAAAGATGCGGGAGAGGCGTTGCAAGGCTTGTCCGGGGCAGTCGAACCCTATTAAAGAGCCAAGCACAATATTGGCAATTATTCTTGCTCAAATGCAGTGGGTGATCCGTAGGCTAACTCTAGGTAAAAATGCCGGTGAACAAAGAGGTCCTTCAAATTGGTCACTCGTGACCGGTGACTGGTTCTGACCCCATGGGGCTCTTTGAGTCCCTGCAGGTAGAACAGTGCATGTAACGCACAGCCCCATTATCTACACTAACCCAACCGCCCGGAGTAAAATCCAATCCCTGAAAGTCCGTGCATTTCTTCAAGCTGGTCAATTAAGATTTGACAGGGGATTGATATCGGGCGTGGTGCTCCGGGGTAGTAGAATGTGGAGTCAGAAGTAATGCAGTTGTCGTGACTAAGAGTTCGAAGTGTTGCATTTCAAAACATCTTGGCAGTAATGAAATGGTCCCCAAACCTAACAACTGCCCTGCTTCCTTAGCCCTCACATCAAGCCACCTTAGCCCTCACATCAAGCCAACTTAAACCTTTTTTTTTTTTTTTTTTTTTTTTTTTTTTCGCATTGTGTTGTAGAGCACTAAGGACGGCAATCCATTACCGGTGCTAAACAACCTCAAGCCCCTAACTGAATGCTGGGAGTTAGGCTTCTCAAACAGCAAGTCCACTACCTCCGGAACAATATGACCAAACTCCAAAGGAAGTGCAAGTATACAAAGAACGGGCACAGCCGCCTCTTGCTATACCACTGGACATTTCGCCCGGGTCATATGAAACAAAAAATCATCAACGTTGTCCAGTGTTCCGCTGTAGGTATTCTTACAGCGAGCAGAAAGACGGAAGCCCCCTTTTCCTTCCCTTGGACCCTGCATAGCCAAGGTAGCATTGACACTGACAGACCAAACATAAAACTTTTTGTAATTTGGGGTGGTTGGATGGAGGAAGTTATGCACAACGAAGACAGAGCTGGTCTACTTGGCAATATCCATCTGGTGTGACGATAGACGGACCGACTAAGAAGCTGGGCTCGCTGGGGGGAGTGGACGGTTGGAGGCCCGACGAGTAAGTCGTCCGGCATTGGAGGACTCTTCGGCAGTGTATGTCTCTCCACAACTGTCAAAGTCCATTAGGCTCCCGTCGTAGGGTCATGATCTTTGTCTGGGGAAATAAGTGAGCAGATGTGTTGAGAAACAGGCGCTCCAATGATCACCCCGTATGGACCTACCTAAATATCTGGGGTTGTCGTTACACTGGACACTGTGCGTCTGGCAGGCCGGGGGGTGTTTTGGTGTGTGATGGGTGGATCCGGAAAGAAGGCGCCACAGCCGCACCCGACGTCTCATGCCCCGGCATCTTGGGAGTTCGGGAGGCGGCGGAAGTACCTGGCCGTTGGTGTGCAGGCTTACCCGTGCCACCCCCACGGCCCGTCTGTTTCCCCAAATCTTGCTGCACCAACTTGAACAGCAACAATAACAAGAACAACAACCACGAGCAACCCCAAATGCTCCGCTCCGCCAGTTCGCAGTGGTGTAAGAACTACTGCCCGCAAAGAAAGAGCGGACAGAGAGGCAAGGCATTAGGATAATTTAAGGTACTATAACGCAAACTTTTTCGTAAATTATTTAACCATTTTATATTGTTATGACGGCAAACCTATGCGGATACTACTCGCCGGTTAGGTGGATTCGCTTCGCCGGCCAGCCGACGCTCCTCGTCACTCTGTCTGTCTGTCACTTGCATTTGGGTCCGTTGGATCCACATACGACTTCCTACGCCCACCAACAACCGCGGCCGAGGTTTCGCCAAAGATGTACCACATCTTCTTGAAAGGATCCAGCGTTGGGGTTGTAGCTCCCATCTTGAGCCTAACTTTCTTCGGGGGGTCTTCCGATACAGTCTGGAAGAGTCAGTCGCAAAGGATAGCTAGGCTGTTTCTATGTTCTTATTACTTGGGGAGGCACCTCGGTTATACGGCCTCACCCGTAAGACCGGGAAGAGCGCCACAGCGGCCTTGAGACCATGCCGCGCGCCTTCGGCCTCCGCATCGAAAACTTCCGCTTGTTCTAGCTGACCGCATCCGCGGCCGAGTTCTGTCTGTCCTTGGAAGATTACGTAGCCAAAGCCTACGCACTCGCCCTCTGGTCTTTCTTCAGTGTCGGGGTCCTCCGCGTGCGCTGGGGGGCCCATCTGCTTAGCTATCATAGAGCCGTCGGTGTAAACGACAATCTCTGAGGGATCTCGTTGGAGAAGCCATTCTTTGAAATCTTTGGCAGCCCTGTCCTTAGACGTGGGCGCTGGATCTTTGTGAGTGTCTCCGTTATAGACGGGCGGCTGTAGAACCGGCCGCGGGAAAGGCAAGGCGAGCTGTGCAGCCGTCTGTAGAGTTGTAGGGCGGCGAGGCAGGCCGCGCAGCGTCATTCGGGGTTCCGAAAGACGCGGGACGAGCGGGTGGGCAGGATCTAAGGTGAGGAGGCGCACAGCGTGCTGCCGCCGGGCCGCTTCTAGGAGAAGGGGGACGGGAGGCAGGCTAGCTTCGCGGTAGAGAATGGCAAGGCGCGTCGTTCTCCACACCGGTAAGCTGGCGGGGATGGCAATGTTAACCGCAGTCTGGACTTTATGGACGAGGTCCGCCAGTCCATTGCTAACAAGCGGAAACACTTATAATCGGATCGCCCAGTGGGCGAGCCGCCAGTATATGACGGAACCTGTAGCACAAAGGAAAAGATAAAAGATCTGATCGGATCGTAACAAGGTGATTGCCGTGTAAGTCGCCGGAGAAGGTGTCTTCCGAATAAAAAAAGAAAGGAGTGAGAAACCCAGATGTCACACGGACATTGCCCACAGTCCAAGGGTTAGGGTTGCAAGGCTCAGCAGAACCTCAATGAGCCTCGAGATGCCCGGTGACCCCAGAGCTACGATCCTCACCCCGGCCGGACTCTCGGCCACGGGTACTACTTACCCGAGCCCCTTCCGACACTACCGGGCTAGCGAGCCAACTAGGGAAGTGCTGAAACACTGTTGAAACATCATGAGACAATCCCCAGAAGTAACACAGCCAAAGCAAGCAAGAAGCACGGCGCCCAGACGAATGACAGCGCCAGAAGAAAGATGGAGAATAGATGAAGGCATAAAGATCCACATGTATGCAGACTGCTAGATAGAGGCTTTGAAGCCTCAGGCAACAAGGCTTGATACGTACCTCAAGTACGTACCGATTCCCTTTGGCATAAGAAGGCCTGGAAGCCCAACCTTCTCCTGGAGGTTGAGAAGATCAACAAGGCCTTCGAGACCAAAGTAGTTTATCAGCTGAATTGAACTACTGTTCCAAGCCCAGAATACTGCCCTTGTCACACCGGACCATCCAGACAAGGCAGCAGGATGCTTGTCGTCAGATCCATATCCCAAATTGTGAGATGCGGCGGGACATCAATGGATCCCAAACTGTAACCATAGTTTATGGGAATGATTCCAAACTACTAAGAACAAAACTATCCGATCGCAGGTTTAATGTACTCGAATGACTCACAACTATAAAAAGGACAAGAAGATCCAACTACCCAGATAATACTGCAATAAAGGTTGTCCACCATCGAGAATAGTATCTATAATTCGCAAGCAACACTCATTTGAACCTTTTTGCTATACCGAACAGCACCTGATACTCTTTACCTTAAGCTATCCTATTTAGGCAGATCAGACCTTGCCGTTTGTTACACTTGTAGATGGAAACCCTTGCCTTGCTCTCATCACCATGTTCATAAACTTCTCTTCATCATCAATGCTCATAATTCCGACCCATTCTGGCATATTAACGCATAATTTCTCATCTATAAAATACCAACTCCACTGCTTATCAAAGCTACCTCGCAAGAGAACTTTGAATAATGGCTCAGCAAACTGCCCATTAAGAAGGGTAGTGTAAAACTCCTTAGATCTTCTTAATAGAGCTTCTGCTAAGTCGCTTGCACTTTTGGATTCCAGTAACAACGCCAGAGCCGTAAGAGCGTCGTCGGATAAGCTGGACTGGG